ACACACACACACACACACACGAGCCCATCCGTTGAGAACCAATCCTCGCTCAAACAAATAGCAATATGCGTAGATTATCCTGCGCGATCCGAAGTCCAAGATACACTTCTCCGTATCGCCGACATTTTCTGGAATGTGAAGAAGGGAAAAGAAGGGATGGCAAAGCAGATGTCAAGCACATGTGTTTCCTTTGTTGAATGCTTGCATTCGCTGAACTCCTTTTGTAATTTTCGAATGGGAATTGTCTTTGAGGGAAAGGAGCTAAGATGGAGTCGAGCTCCACCCTTCGCTCTTCACTCCAACTTGGATACAGAAATGTGCTGGACAAGACCTGACCTTGGAATCTCCACACCCTTTGTAGAATTCTTTGCTGCTCATGGATTTGCAGAGCTATTGCCAGGCTTCTGTGCTTTGCTGAAGAACTATACGTTTCACGCTTTCAGAACTCACGGCCTGCCTGCTGCCATGTCTTTTCTAACTCTTCACATCTCCGACGCTCTTTTAGCACCTGGACAGGCAGCTGGTTTGAGGGCTAGGAAGCCGGCAAGATCTGGTAAGGCAACACTGCCGTGGCAGCATGCTTTCTTGCAGGGGCCTCGGTCTGAGCCAGCTGAACCTCCATCTCCAAAGAAGCTGTGCGCTGGCGCACAGCCTCCGTGACCTCCTGATGAATGGACAACACCGTTTTTGAAGCCTTGTGTGCAAAGGCCGCATGCCTGCTGTCGAGCCTCGTCCTCCTGCCACTTGCATTCGCTTTGGGCTGCCTCCTTCCATGCCGAGCGAACCGGACATGTCTGGAACCGAGCACGTGCCGGTGCCGTCTGGCAGGGGATGCAACGGTGGCAGATTGCGGGGGAAACTCTCATCGCAATGCAAGAGACGCATGGCAGCAAGTCGCGCCCAGCCAGCACACACCAGCGTGTCAACAGCAACATCAGCACAGCCAACGCGACGACGTAGCAAGCATGCCCGCACAATGCACAAACAAAGGCCTGAGATGGTCCAATGCCCGTGTCACATGCTGCAACGTCTCTACCACAAAGCTCTGCGTTGATATGCGTTCATCTTTTGTTTTTTTTTTTTTGTGATGGTGCGCTGCACACGGGTACATCAACATGCACTTACAGAAATCTGCCTGAGGTCTACAGTGATGTCCTCATGATGCATCTGGCTACTCCTCTTGCAGAAAGCTTTCCGGCAGCCGATGTCACATTTTTACCGAAACTGCTGCTGACCCGACGGCACGTACGCGCAACTCAAATGTCAGCTGGACGTCGGCACCAAATTTGCCAAGGCCTTTTTTAAACGGTTACTGCTTGCTGCGATAGCTTAGCTTCGCGGCTCCTCGTTCGCCAGATTGCACTTGTCCCTAAGCGAGGCAACCTGCGGCAAGACCCACTTCCATGCGTCCGCACGCAATCGAAAAGCTTGAGTGCTCCTGCTAAAACTAATATCAATCTGAACCCGATCACACCACAGCTAGAGCGAAAGGAAAGCCGTATCCTACGACTTAAGCCCAAACACAGCAGGTAATGCATGGCAATCCTGGAGCTCAAGCTCCTGCATGGCTTCCAGCATCGTTTCGCTCTTGCCACGTTCATGCTCCAGTTGCACGTCCTCAAAAGATTTGGCCAACTAAAGCTAGCGGCGGCAAGAAACTGCGTGCGCCAAAACAATTCTGAAGCTAGGCCAAAGAAGTAAGTCCAGAATCTAGTTTCAACCGATCCTGATCCAGCTATCTTATCAAAAAAGGGATCAGGCATCGGAAGATATGACCTAGCATCCATAAGCAGCCCGTCCAGTTCTGGAATTCGATGTTTCAGCGAAACGTTCCTGGCTGCGTAATGTATGTAGGTTTCTGGGTACCACGTGGGAGTGAAGAAGCAATGGCTATTTCGAAAGATTCTGAAGCGGTGAGATCACCAGAATCAGACAAACCGCCTCCTTTCCTCTGCGGTCAGTCTCTACATCCTAGCCATGAGTCAAGATTTGCTACTGTGCGCCACAGGTCGGCTTCGCAAGTGCTGGATAGCTTGTTTTGAGGATGGCTAGTTTTGAGGATGCACTGCTGCGCGGTGACTTGGACGCTTAGCACCCCCGGAGTTGTTTTCTTCCGCGCGATTAATCTTTTTGGTTTTCCCTTTCTACCAGCTTTGATGCTCTTTGATCAAAGGGCTCGGCCCGGCCCCGATTGCCAAGTTGACGGGAGCACTCTTCTTCCAGTCGCTCGCAGGAAGCGATGGCCTGCGAACTGGACCAAATCACCAGCATGTTTCCAAGAGATATGGCCCCAAAGGTTGATTGACTGTGTTTCACCTGGTAATGGAGGGGGAATCTCAATCCAAATGGCCCTTCAGGTGCATGCTGAGTATCAACTTCATGCATTGCCTGGGACCGACTCGACTTCAGCGAGGATATCGTTGCCGCCAATAGGGACGAGACCTGGCACTCTTGAGATGATTACCACCAAAACCATACAGGAAGGCTTGGCGTCACAGCCTTCCCCGCTTCTGGCACTTTGTACTACCAAAACACCACCGAGCTGATGTGAAGTCTTACCGAGCATAATTGTATTGCCGCTTGTCAAGAAGTGCAAGCATGTCACACACACACACACACACACTCACTGCAGTTACTCTTTGCATCTCCTTACCAGAGATTCTTGATAAGCGCTCAAGAACACCCCTACCGCCAAGCGTGAAGGTGCCTTGTTGAACCTCAACACATTTTCCAATGTTGCCGATGCTATACACGCATCTAGCCGCACAAGGCTGCACCTGATCTTCCCTCTTCTTGGCGGTCGCCTGCATGGGAAGCCCGGTCATCCGGCAAACATCATGTGGAGTGACAAGAAGTATGCTACACCCCAGCTGCAGTCAACCCGCAGACCAGCACGGAAGCTTGCATACCTAGGACGAAAAGATTGATGAGTCGAAGAGGAAACGTGCGGTGTGGCATCTGCTACGTCCGCAACTATCGTTCCAGGGAAGTGTCACTTAGACTCAGATCGATGTCACAGAAGATTGAAGGCGTTCAGTTCCACAACGTTCCACAAGTTGAATCGTCGCCAATTCTGGACCTGCTCGTCGGCAAGTTGCTGCTTCAGTTTGGCGACGGCCTGCACATCGCGTTTAACTTAAGGGAAGAGCAAGTCCTAAATATTCTGGTGGGCACTGCCCCGCAGGTGAAGCAGATCTCTTGCAGAATCACTGGTAACATGTATAGCTGTTCGAACCCCATCACACCATCTTGTGCCGATGATCAGAACCCTGGGACTTGCAAACCCGCAGGTGACTTTTTCAAGAGGCGAGACATGCCGAGCCAAGTCCCAAGGATGCCAGAGCCAGACTTCACTCAGTCAGCGCCTCTACTTTGTGTGTCGTTTCACGTGCCTCAACACTCTTTCAGGCACAACTGGCGATGGCTACCAGAAGCTAAGCATGGTTGGAACCAACGAAGTAGAAGCTCGCCCCTGGCTGAGACTGGATGCAAAGACGTCACAGTCTCAAAACATTGTAGACAATTCAAGTGCTGCGTTCAGAGCTTCAGCCCCCTTCTTCCGCGCCATGTTAAGTGATTGTGAAAC